TAGTAATTATAAATATTTGACAGATGAGACAAAGAAGTTCTGGTAGGTAAAGAAGGTTCAATATAATTCAACTATAGTAATCTCAACTACCGGAGTAGTGTTAAAATCAACAAAGCGTCAACTCGAGACATTAAAAGATGGAAAATGATGACTATGCAAAAATCAGTTATTCTGGATACATGTCATATAGTATTCCTAGGAAAATTCCTAGGAAATGAGCTTCATTAAACTAACAAAATCCACAAGCAGTGCCCGTACTTGCTCGCTGGGGCCGTACGAGCGAGATTAGCCGAAGTGACTACGGCAGGTGAAGGTTTAACCCCCCCCCCCGAGGGAGAAGTGAAAAAGTAATAATAATAATTATTAAAAGTTACATAATTATAACATTATAGTCTCGACTCATCGAGTCTGAAACAAGAAACCACCATGTGGAAAGAAATCTGATTAGCAAACAAACAATAGAAACTGCCTCTGAGAGACTTTGAGGTATATTTTCTTTCAGAAATATACTTCACTCGGCGTGGTCTTCATTTGAACCGAAGTGTTGCAACAAAAGTACAACGCAAGAAATAAAATCGACAGTAGGAGTAAGACATGCTTGTCTTCTTTCTCCTCTATTTTGTATTTTGTTTATTAAAAAATTAATGACAGGAGTACAGGAAGCGGACGCATCTACGAAATGTTTGGTCTGCAAATTCCAGGATTATTATGCTGATGAGTTAGTTCTACGTTCGGAAAGTATTGAGGGCTTACAGAGGAGTTTAATTATCCTTGAAAGGTATATTGAGACACGGGGACTAAAAGTAAATACTAAAAAAAAAAGTCTTCAAGAATGGGTTTATTTGGGGTAACAAAGAAAAATGGTATTACCAGCAGGAGCAGCTCGACCGTGTCAAAACTTTTACCTGTCCTGGTGCAAAAGAATCCATGAACGAGGGATAGAATTGTCACAGTGTAGCGACTCATTATTATACAATTATGACATTAAGGGAGAATTACGCTCAAAGAAATCGGTTTTTACAGTGTACATAGCCGCAATTGCATTTAAAGGCGTAAGACGCAATATTTTAATCGCTCGATCTACAGCGGGAGCTGTAGGATATCGATTGGAAAAAACAGAAACGGATTATTACAAACTAATATTCGGAATTAGAATTAGTAATCCCGGGTACGTAAATATTTCGTTATCAGGAGTCCATGGGGACGATATATCGTATTCACAGCTATAAACTTTTTCTTGATAGTGAAAATTCGGTCGTCATATAGAATAGTATAATAATTAAATAAATAAAAGAAATAAGAGGTTGTTTATAATATTCATACAAATAAGGGAGGTGGATAGATTCGTAATAAATTGACATGCCCAGTACGGCGAATATATTGTCAATAATAATATTAAGAGCCAGGATAAAACCCACTATCAGAATATATGTAGTATATTTGTGACTGACGAATGATTGTCACCAAGTTGGAAGATGTTCGTAGATAATATTTTCTCCCCTATTCCACTACTTATCATCGCTAAAGATAACTATCATCAGTGTATGGTATAATTGAGTCAATTGGCAGATTTATAAACAGATCGTTGTAGCATACTGTAAAAAGTACTGGCCCTAGTATAGTTTCCTGGGGAAGGCCATTTTGTCTGTTTGAAGACGTTTTGTCATATCAGCGATAAAATGCCCCTAATTCATATTTTTTCGATTTACACACCAGTAATTCATGATTAACAATCTCAAAATCTTAGGTATGGCCAGAACACCAGTAATAGTAGGTGTACTGTTGTATAACTTTTATTCATATAATCAGCGATAGATACGTGAGCACATATTTATTTCACATTTATCTAAAACTCCTACGATTCTGTTATTTAATACCTTTTTCAAAATCCTTAGAAAAGTTAGATACGAGATAAAATGGACTAAATATAACATGCTGAAAGGTCGCTTTCAGTAACGGTGGCATAAAGAGCTGAAGGTCTCGGTTTACAATCCAATAACAATGGCAATTCTATGCTGGCTTTCAGTCCATTCCAGCTCTTTCTGTTCTCCTGCAAATACTTTGACTGGCGCTACCGGTAAAAAGGCGGGCCTCATTGCTGGTGATGACTATACACGCAGATTAATCAGACAATTAATGCCATAAGCGTTGATCACTCCACCGTAAACGGTCTTGAAAGACGTGATCGGCTGCCTAACTCTCCTCCCACGCATTTTTCACTTTGAGGTGTAGTTTTTGGCTCTATCGTAGACATTGTGTCATTTAAAAATCACTCACAGGAGCGTCCAAAGGTATGCTCTTTTCCCTGGAACACTATATGCAGTCGGTCGTGAAAATTGAAACATTGGTATTGTATTACCAGCTTTGAATGATTCTGATTTATTAATTCTTTTGCAACTTTTTGATGAGTTTGTCGCAATGAGTTAAATGCAGTTCGCAATGAGTTCGCTGTGAGCCATATAGACGATTTCTTGTATTATATTATGATGCAATTTATATTTAACGAAAAAAACGTTAAAAAAATTAAATTACTTACATTAAAAAACTGATAAACACTTATTATATAAATAATTTTCATTCTTAAAATATCTCCAGAAATTTCTCTCTCGCTCTCTTTCTCGCTCTCTCTCACTCTCTTTCTCGCTCTCTTTCTCGCTCTCTCTCGCTCTCTTTCTCGCTCTCTCTCGCTCTCTCTCACTCTCTCTCGCTCTCTCTCGTTCGCTCCCTCTCGTTCGCTCTCTCCTTTGCTTTCTCGCTCTCCCCTTCGCTTTCTCGCTCTCTCCTTCGCTTTCTTGCACTCTCTCGCTCGCTCTCTCTCGCTCGCTCTCTCGCTCTCGCTCTCTCGCTCTCGCTCTCTCGCTCTCGCTCTCTCGCTCTCGCTCTCGCTCTTGCTCTCTCTCTCTCGCTCCCTCTCACTCTTATGTGAAGATAAATTTGAGTAATACAGAAATAAATAAAATATCCATTTGCATTCAATTTCCGTTCACCAGACAGAAGTTTTGCTAAATCTTGAAAATCAATAATACACAGCGCCACTTTAAATCTGCTTATGAACGTCTTTTCATCTTCCCAGTGTTATTTTGATACGTTCACACACGAGTTCAGTTTTAACTTTATTATTAGTTTCGAACAGTATGCTTTTTAAAGAACCCCTGTATATTATTGTAATATGTCATCTAGGTGCACTTTGTAACATAATCTCCACTGCTGGTATTACAATAACGGCTTCCTGCCCCGCGTGTATCGGCCACTCGAGTATCACAAGCTCGAGACGTTTGTACTCGAGGACTGGAAGCTCGAGCGAGTAAAATTGATTGCTAAAAGATGGCATAATTTTAGCTAAAATGCTAATAATTTACTGGTCTATTGACAATATTTCTTAATGGAAACTTCCGCTCAGAAATATTTTTTTCGAAATGGGGTACGCGCAGGAAAAATCTCTCCTGCGTCAGGGAAAGATATTTCGCTCACATACGTAATCAATCGGTGCTCCGCCCCCGGGAACATATTTCCCGCCCCATGGTATTTTACACCAATCACATAATCACTACGTTTCTGACTGTAGCGAAGGGTGGTCAAGTTTGTCTGGACGGTTGGGAAAGTAGAATTTCACCCGCCAGTTATTGTGTGGTGTACTTTATTTGGGCGGCGATAGATTGCAGCTAGCAAAATGTGGCAAATTCGTATAGCTCGCCGAGACCAAAGAAAATAGAAAAGAATACGGGAATGCCTGTGCCATTCCGTAGCACGACTAGTTTCGTTAAATTTTCTCCACATATGTAATAAGGGACGGTAAGAAAGATGGCGCCAGTCCCATATTCAAGTATTGCTCTTTTTTTAATTACAAAAACATTTCAATACTACAAATTTTTATTTGAATTTCAGGTAATTTTTATTTTATTTTAGATATTGTGTAACTACTTACAATAATACCGGTAACTTTTTCTAGTAAAAATGTTTCATTCTGGGCGTATTTGTTTAATAAAATAACCTGTTTAGAAACCATTCAGGATGTCGTTCATGTCAATACTTTTCAGTTGGCAATGTGTCTAACTCCATATAAAGTGGCTTTTTTATGGCAAAGAGAGACATTGATTTTTTTAAATATATTTACAGAGCTGAAAACATACACTTAATTGTAAGTAATGAAGGAGTTTATTCGAAATATGTGGAACAAATTATAGACTTTTTTACAGATAAAATACTTGAACTGTTCATGTCGAAAATTGTCATTTGATGGGATTAGTCGGCTTAGCTTCTGAACCCCTCATTTGTAACAATTCTGTGTTACTGCAGGAAATAATTGATCATTGCAGATAAATATTGAAATCCATTTGAAGCAATTCTAACCGCTAATACTATTCATCAATATAAGAAACCGGATGTGTCGGTACGTGATTTTTCGAATTTTCAACTTTTTAACAATTTTTTCATCTCTTATTTAATTTGTAAAAAGTATGAACCATCAAATGAAGAGTTGCTGTTAGGCGCTTATGGCTATTATAGAATTGCTAATTTTCTCTATGGGTGGCTGAGGTGGGTAAATGTCCGTTTCAGACTCAGCGTTTTGGGGGGAAAGGCCGCTGGTTCGAGCCTGGCTCGCGAGCAATTATTTGTCACAACTCTCTTGTCCTATTTGTAAAACGTATGTCACATCGAACCAATTGTTCAATATAATATTCAAATCAATATAATATTTCGGAGTGTTTAGAAACATAGCGAGACAGTATTGCTTGGGCAGCACCATAAGTTTTATTCTTGTCCATGCTTCTAATTAGAATATGGAAATTATTTCCTCTGTAATAAATTGAAGAGTGGTTAAATTTTGTGAAATTTGTTGTAATTATTGAAGTGCCTGTTTCAATTTCATCTTCATGTAAAATGTTCATTGCTTGTTGATTTTCTAATGAAACGTTTTGTATTTTCAATTATTTGGTAGGCCTACAACATAATGCGGACGATGAGCACTTTCACAACTTTTCGAAACGAAGCTGAAAAGTATGTCGTTGGTGAGCGCGTTTTCGGATGCAGTAATGTCCGGGAGGGCGTTCATGTCGTGTCAAAGCATTGGCTGTCCAGCCTGTGCCGCGCTCCGGATGTCGCTGCGACTGTCTGGCGTCGCCGTCATCGTCATCATCGTCATTCTGCCGCCGCGGCCCGCCGCTGAGTAAAAACGCCGCAGTATGGCGGCTACGCGTGATCCCGTGTACCGCTTCGCGCGACGATCGTACTCATGTTTCCCCCTGGCACTTTCGCGAGTCCCGTCGCGTCCTCTGTGGCATCTACGTCCGCGCCCACGCCCCGCAGGGATTCCCCTCGTTTTCGGAGCTAGCCCTTATATGGTTGAAGACATTGCGTGGCAAGATATCTAAGAGTGCATCTCTCGTTCACAGGCATGTGTTAAAGAAGGATAACGCAAACACTGTCGCAGCGGTCCCCTTACTCTTTTTTTCCCTGTAAGATTACGCATACGCGCCGTAGTATGCGCATAAAGGAAAAAGTCATGTATATACTCAGAAAGTGAGCTTCCAAATACCAAGGATTGTGATTCGTCAAATCCGCTTGGAAAAAAGATCCGAACCATGTCACTTCCTGTATTGCGCCATATTGCATAAGTTAACACAGAGAGTTTCTTAAACTTTTCTCAGGAAAAACAAAATTCATCAACTCATTGTGCTACAAAACGGCACAGAATTTCTCGTACCATCGTTAGTTGCCCTTTCTTTTAAGGAGGGGTCGTGTAATTATTGAAGTGCCTGTTTCAATTTCATTTTGGTTTCCCTTCTTTTAAGGCGGCTGATAGCCTCTTAAGGGACGTAGAAGGGCACCCTGCCCTATGAACAATTCCTTTGCAAGTCGATAGCATTGCAAGTCGTACCATTGAATAGAGAAGATAAAAATAAATAATATAGCTTCTGTTTATATTCACCATAAAACTGTTTCTCTTGGCGTTTTTCTTGATACTGCAATGATCCCACGAATCTACTAATAAACGTTATGGCTTGCTTTTTGTTGTACTTTTTATCGAAGAAATGGCAAAACCAATCTCTTCACTCTGTCGCACTGTTTATCGCTTCGAGGCGCTACCGAGGCCGCGATATCGCATCTGATATCGACATTGAGCATATGAAGCGACCAATCCAAGCGAGACTTCGCAAACCTCTTTTTTCAGTATACTTATGTTAAGAGAGTGAATGGAATGAGTGCACAAAAATGGGGGTGATTATGAGATGCAAAGTTCTAATAAATAATTCAATATCTCGAGAATGGAAGTTGATAGCACTGTCAGAATTGCGGATTTTTATATTGCATTTATAGGGGATTTAGAGGAGACAATAAAAAAATTTGCAATAACTGTAAATTTATGAACAATTACCAACTTTTGCAGATCTAAAGAGGGGAGAGTCTCACAATGCTCCAGAACCGAAATCCACGAATTAACAATATTGCCACAATTTACAAGTTTATAAACAAATTAAATTGAAATATGCGATAGAACGGCCAGAAAGGATCCGCAAATTGTGCCTGAAATTAACATTTTAAAATAGCAGTTTGACAGAGTTACAAATTGATTGCTAAAAATAGTATAATTGTTGCAAAATGCTAAATATTTACTAGTATGTTGATAATAATTCTGGACGGAAAACCCCAGTCCTCGAAATTGTAATGCGATGTGTTTAAAATTGCGTTTTCCGAGATTGTGGGGCGAATGTTTTTTATCATTATTGAATATTTCTTTATGCAAGGATCTGCACGCTTATGCAATTATTTATTTAAGTTCATAAAGTATTCAACTGCTGCTCTGAAGTGGTTTATTGTCGTGGATTGTATTTTAATTTCATCTTTGACGGCTCGTCGTCTCGCTATTTGAGTGTGCAACGCGTCTCTTCTCTCCCCCTCCTCCCAAATTTCTCTCACTCATTGCCACCCACATATCCATACATGCAGACCTACCTTACATTAACATACCTTAACATAAAGACAAACACAGGGCATCTTATGAAGTTTATGAGCATGTGGAACGGGTCCTTTTATCAGCAGTGAGATTTGGCCACATTCTTTTCTCCGCACTCGCTTCGGTGTCGCTCGGCCCTCTGAAATATTTATGATTAGTGTCGGGTTACCGCGAGGCGACTCAGCAGGTTCCAGAACAGTTTTTCCAAAGGTGTCTAGAGTTGTATTTGCAAACCAACGTGCAAATACCCACGAGGCACCCCTAAATTTCATTGTTCTTGAGTTGAGTGGTGGTCGGCGACTTCGGTGGTGTACCGGTTAGCGTACCTGTATACACAAGTTTGAGGGATCAAACACAATCGAAGCTGTAGACGTTTTACGGGCGAAAAAATACTTCATACGCCATCCTTTGGAGGGGAGGAAAAGCCACCTGTTCCATCCCATAGATTTATCCATGTAAAATATCTTTAAACTTAATGTCTCTGAGCTGAATTCAAATTGCCTGTTTTGCACCCGAGTGACACGTCTTTCCGCTAGGAGAAGCGTAGCGAAATTCGAGTGGAGAGACGAAATTTGAATAGTCAGTGGCGAGATGGCCCGAGTCTCGACTCGTGAAATGGGGCATCATTGATTTGAATTGAATTGAATTGAATTAGTTTTCTGTTATCTTAGATTTGTTTTCCTTCATGATAGCTAATTCATGTATTGATTGTTGTTGTTTTTTTACTTCTCCTGGGACTTGAGGTGTCTTTTTATTTAAAAAACTGAATCTATTTGCAACTTGTACTTGTATAGTTCTTTTACATCGGTGTTCACTTCTGAAGCAAGTTCGATCGAGGACATGCGTTTGGCGTCAGGACCTGAATATGTCCTCGCGGGTTCACTACCCTTGCCATACATTGTTTTGCTGCGTCTCTGACAGAGTTCAGACGGTTGTTCGTTGAAAATATGGTACTTGCCCAGGTTCTGCGGGCAGCATTGTTGATCCTGTCGGGTGTGATTTGTAGATTGCATTGTGTGGAGGCTGCGGCAGAATACCTTCTGTGTTTTTTCACACTGCTGCCGTGAAGTCCAGGATGCCTTCAGCGAACGCCATGGTCTTTGGATTTTCGGGGTTGTAAACTGATTCTAGGTCCTGAATGACCAATTGCCCTGTGCTAAGAAGATCGTCGTTAAGTATATAAATATTACTGAACTACCACAACATGCATGCGGCCATTTAATACTGTTTAGTGCTAACACAGAAAAATCTATCATTACTGTTCTGTGAAACGTTCGGAGCGATGTATTTGTGTTGAGTAGTGACCTCCCAGTGGTTAGGTGTTGAAAAATGCAGCGCTCCAAATGCCACGGGAGAAGAATCGCCAACACCTCTGATATCGTACCATTTAAGTGATATTGTTTATACCCTCGGAAGTCCCCGACCACCAGCAGACCGTACACATTCGAAACAAGCTTATTTTCGAATCTGTAATGTTTGTCAAAAGTGACTTACTTATCGGTGGGAACATTTTTTCATGCAATACTAATATTTATAATTACAACACACGTCGTAAAAATCACGTTCAAGTGTCAGTAACAACAGCTGACTATCAAATATCCACATGCAATACATGTACGGTACTTAAAAACGCATTGCCAGATGATATTAAACAATTGAAGTCGGTTCACAAATTTAAGTTAACAGTAAAATATTTTCTCCTGCAAAACTGTTTCTGTGAGAGAGACTATACTGATTAGAGACTATACTGATTATCAAAACGAAAAATGTTAATTTTAACAAAGCAGTGATATATATTGAATTAGTTTAAATTTTATTGTATACATCTTTTAAAAATACTTAATATGTTTGTAACAAATAATGTACTTCAGCTTCCTGGTCAATGACTTTCATCTCGATCAGATTTTTGTCCAGTTTCTCTCATACATTGAGCAAATGCTGAGATGGCCCCTTGTTTTGCTTCTGGGAATAAATGTAGCTTCACTATGCGCACGTTTTGTTGAGCTCTCCTTTTGCTTGTAATGGTAGGAATAGAGGTAAGGGCGAGTTACTATTTTGTTAGCAATGCGGAAAAATCATACTTGCAATTCGTTTACAGATGCAAATAAGTTTTCTATAACTCGGGAACAAAAATGTTTACTTTTTTCAAATATTGCTAATCTCGCGCTTTTTTTAAAATTTATTTTTATTTACTTATTTTAACTTTTACTCATCTTTCAACTATTTATTGTTAAAATAACGGGAAGGGATTCTGGAACTCAAGAAAACGTGTGCAGATGATCTTCTAGCCTATACGTCACATACAGTTTTTACTGTTTTTTTGACTAAATAAATCTAAATCTAAGCTAAGTATGATGCGTGTATTGATGGAATACCAACCAACGGCTCATAAGCCTCTCAAAAACAAGAATTGAGATCACATTCAGGCCATCAGTTACACGACAGTGCTAATGATCGGCGCTCTATGGTATAATAGATTATAAATTTTACTGTTTGTGTTCGCGATTTAAATGGTGGCAGTGGCGCAATTCTGGCTTCCGATTCGGATTCAGCGCGTCGACATACGTACAGATACATGTGTCAAATCTTCAGGTCTGACAACTTTTTTTTTTGGGGGGGGGCGGGGGGGTCTGTCATTTGTAACACCAAACAAAATAAGTAATAAAATGCTCATCGCTCACTCCTCCCACGCAATACATCGGCATGCTCTTTTGCCTTCCTATCGGTAAAACACGCTCTATAACCAATATCAACGACTGCTGTGGCAACATTCTCATATTATTTCTAGTACATACATTGCCTCATTATTTCTAACATCTGCAATTTTCAAAAATTCAGAGAGCTCAACGAGAACTGCGATATGTTTAGGCGCACTTTTTTCTATATGTCGAAGAAATTGGAGAGAGAACTTGGAGAGTTTATTAAAAATATTCTACCGAACTTTCGGGTTTAGATTTTATCGGTGCTCCTACATCTTGGGATTTTGTGACTTAGACACAAATCACAATTTTTGGGAAAAAATGTGAACACAATTTATTTTTACAATTATTTTGGTACAGACATATTGAAAGTAGTATGCCAGCAAGTTTTGTTAATGACTCAAACATTCCTCTTCGTCCACCAATCCCAAAATAAATCATAAGCTTTCTCATCGGTGGTTACAGATTTAGAAGACATCAAACTAGTGCTTGCAGTTTCTGCTTCCTCCAGAA